GTGTGTGTGTGTGTGTGCACAGCTATAGAAACATAGACCTGACTGGTAATAGAACACAGACAAAAGGTCCATTGATGAAGATGATGTGTGTGTGTCAGAAGGTCTCCAGTTGCACTCCTAACACTGGCCTTTGAGGGCAACCGGCCTCTCATGTGGCTAAACCAACCCTCCTTCCAAAATAAAAGTCCTTTATTTTTCCTTTTTAAATACAAGCAGTTTGTTTATGATGTGTCTTCTGCAGCAGATTGCTTCTTTGATGTAAACCAGAGAAGATATTTTTATTTTTATTTTGTTTGTTGTACTTCACGCTGCCCAGTTATGAGCAAACAGAAGTCACATGACTCATATGGTAACCCGCCATCCATCCTGCTGGAGCGGAGTTGGCAAATCTGATTCAGTTAATGTTATTTCAGTTTGTTATAACCAGTGTGGCTGTGTTTATTCCTCTGCTGCTCAAGAGTAGGGATGGGTATCATTACAGTTAGATTGACACTACTTTTTGTATTGGCACCCTGTTATCTCCTAATTTGGAATTTCCTGTTGCTTCTGCATTGCACTTTGTCACTATAGGTCTTCATAGGACTGTGGAGCTCCTACTTGAAGCCAACATGCGTTAATTCATTTTCCAAAACCAGTAACCTAATATGAAAGACTCCTGAGAACAGTCAGATCCCTTCACACAGTCCCTCACCGGTTTCCCACTGGTGAACATATTCAGTAATGTTTGTTAACCACCAGTCAGGAGGTACCTCTGCTCGGAACAGTAGTAGTGGGAAAGAAATTATTGGTTATTTGTGTTTGTTTATTTAATAAATGGCAGTTTGTTACAAGTAGAAACTCGCTTTGTTTTGTCATAAATAATTAACTGTAAACTAATGTTGTATGTTTAACAGCTGCTTTAGCCAAAATGTGCCATGGCAATAATCATTATCAACACCTGATCTTTTTTTTGCACCACAGACTGTTGCATATTGACAACAGGCTTTTGAAGTGGCTGATGGCAGTTTCACATGACACCTTTACATGTTGGCAATCATGCCCAGCACAATTTCTCTCTGCAGCCCATACATTCATACTGTTTTTTTTTTTGGTGCATCAATCATCACGGTTCGGTAGCAAATGCTCCGTGGCGTGGTATCAGTCTGGAGCCTACGGACTGGGAACCACTGATCAACATGCCTGAAGTGTAAACTCATTTGCGGTTTCTGTTTTCCTGGTCATGTCTAATTTGTTTGTGTTGGCAGCTTCTTGTTCTGTCAGTGAGTTTGAGCGTGGCCACAGTTCTGCCCATCATGCAAAGACGGAGACAGAGAGAGAGTTTATATTTGATGGCTTCTGTTAATATATATGCCGTGTTTTCTCTTTGCCTCAGGACGACCATCGTGGTGACCGGAGCCTTCCTGGATGCTTTTCAGAAGGTGGCAGACATGGCGACTGGGACCAGAGGTAAACTCACTCACAGAAACACAATGTTACACAGACGCATGCAGTTTGATTGTGTTCTCGGCTGTGGGCCAGACACATCATTCTGAGATCAGCTTCAGTTTTGTTTGTGTGTGTGTGTGTTTGTGTGACATCATGTAAGAGAGCCACAGGAAATGTTTTCCCTGTTGATCTGTCTGTTCCTTCCTTCTTGCAGTGTGATCTTTCACTGTGTCTCTCTTTTTTTGTTATAAATAGTTAGCGAGATCATGAGGGAACTAATTAACTCCATTCACTCTCTGTGGAACTGTGTGTGTGTGTGTGTGTGAGAGAGTCTAGTTATAATGTAGAAACCATTAAGGTTTGGACTACTGTGTGATGAAATGGGCCAACCAATTTTTGGTACATCTCCCTTTTCTTTCCTGTTTTTGGGTCATTTCTTTGGTCTGCTCTCTCTCTCTCTC